TGAATAGCAATCAGTATCCTTCTTAGAAATGTCACGTACACCTGATATATCAAGATCAATTCCGAAAAAGTTCATCTTCGCTTTGAGATGAGGAAGCCCTACTCAAAACATCACATTGACTTTGCAGGCCTGTAACAGTGCCAACGTCTTGTGAAGTTTTATCATGTCCCTTTATAGCCGTAACTTCTTTGGTCCACAATACCTAAGGAATACTTCAGATGGTATAATCAATCCTCCAGATATGCTACATGAATCATATGCTTTGAAATGTATAAACATTCTATTCTGGGCATGAGATTCCTTGTCATTTAACGTAGCTTCACATAGACTTCATCTATGTTTAAGAAATGTCTTTCTTAATAAAATTCCTGCAACATAAGCAGTAGCGTTAACTTTAATGATTTTTGCTTGAACATCGATGCTGGCATATTCTGTTGATATTATTATTAGTGGGGTCTTTGGTGCTTTGGTCAAAACTGGTGCTGCAATGTCCTGCAAGTTACCTAGCTGTAACAATGGTTGATCAATATCCATTTCACAGCTTCCAGTAACAACTTGCAAAAGATTAGTATAGAATAGCTTCCTGTTAGCTTTTTAAATGGTATTGGGGGTTGGATTGTTAGAATTACCACCCTGTTGTTGAATGGATTCAAAAAAAAATTTCTAATGGATCTGGTTTAATCTCCTGGTAAATCAAGAATGAAACAATGCCATCATTGTAGAGTCTGTGCCATAAGCTGATCATTGATTTCAATGTTATTACTCAACCTTTCAGGCATTTTAAATTGCTTGCCTTGTCTTCGCCTGTTGCCTTGTTCACCACCTTTAAAGACTCGAAAAAATCAACTCCACTTTTCTTTATTTCCATATGTGGTAATCTTTTGGAAAAAGGTCTTCGTTGGATTTTGGGGTCCTTGAAAGTAAGGGAGTTACAAGAATAAAAAATCTTAACAACTCTTTCTAAAAATTTAGCAGTACCAACTGCTTCATTAGGAAGACTTTGCAGAGAAACCTTTGTGTAGATTCCAGCTGCAACAGAATGGCTTAGAACTTGACTGGCTAGCTTTATGCGCCTCTCTGAAAAGCCATTAAGGTTAATATGCTTTTCTTTCAACTTTGGGCAGTTCTTATAGGAATTTTCTGCTACTTCTGGTAAAAAGATTTAAAATGATCCCAGTTGGCTTGTTTACCTTCAAATTCAAATCCACACTTCATTAAAAGATGGGGTGGATTTCTCTTGACTAGAAACTCATAGGTCAATTGCCAAAGATAGAAAGTTAGACCCTTGGTCACTGATAACAGAGACAACATTCAAACCCATTGATTCTAAGTGAAGTAGGGCCTCACTTATAATATCCTTCAATTTATTTGGTGGACATGATCCATTTACTAAATAGTATGCAAGTGGTTGTTTCCAGTCACTTATAACTCCTCTTACCATCAAAATCAAAGCAGAATTTGCAATAAGACCAGATGTCTCATAGTCCTCCAGTTCAATGACTCTGTCATTAGGAATATCAGAAAATAAACGACTCTTCAAAAAACTCATCCATCACCAATGTTTTTCTGTGAACCCAACATAATCTATATGCCCTTCCACTGATGTGATACAACATTTAAGCCTATGCCTTGAAATTGTTGCCAAATCTTCTACCCTTAGATTTAACGACTGAAAACTTTTTTCGTTTACTCAAAAAGTCCAAAAGTTGTGGGTCAATCAAACCTTCAAGCAGCTCAATTGCTTGTTTGGCCTTTGCTGTTTTACTTTTTTAAGAGGGGATGTAAGGAAGTGAGTATTTATTGCTTTCAATCTTGAGGACAGCCGCTGTACCTGTTGTGACTTGGTTTTAATAATCTCTCTTAGTTTTTTCTAGGAGTGGCAAGGATCAGATTAGGAGGGGTTTGAGTGGCTTTTGTGAACTCTGAACATTTACTGATGGGAACTGTTTTCACAGTGTTTTCAGCACCTGCAACAAAACCAAAAAAACATTTTGGTTTTTTAAAACAAATTCAATTTCTCTGAAACAATTTGAAACATTCCATTAAATTGGTCAGTGATTTTTATGATACAAAGATCATGCCAAAAAGGAATTTCATACTGACCTATGGAACCATCAGAGCAAGTAAGGGGGTTAATGAAAGTTCGAGAAAATTTTTCAATAAAAGAAAAGTTAAAGAAGAAAAGTTAATTTGCAGTTTGGATTAACAGCAAATATCCAAACTTTGCTCTGTAAAACTCATGTTCAATGTAGTGTTATTCTCAGTATGTTAAACAACACCAGAATCATTTTAAATTAAAGTTTTGTGAAATTAACAAAGGTTTCCTTCTCATTTTTATATTATTTATAAAGAAGGGGCAATAGTAAATTTTTATAAAAAATAGAATGCATAAGTGAATGAGACTGCAATGCACTTAAGGGACAAATAAGCTGGTGTGTGGCATGTATATGTGACTTGTATAAAGTATTCATGTTTTTCTCAACAATCTGAGGCATTAAGACACCAATCTGATGGCAAAGAACTGGATGGCAAAGAACAGTTTTCGAAAAAACTGGATGGCAAAGAAACCCAACAGAACATTATCTATAATGTAAAATGTCAACTATTTAAAGTTGGCAAACTAAATTGTCCGCCACGTCCCACTAAAATAGGTCCTAAAGTCGTTCACTGTTTATTCTCATATACAGAATATTTCATTCTTCTCAGTTGGCCATTGTAAAAAACCATCTGCTTTACTCCTGACTTTTACTTTGACATGATCGCTTTCAATACATGTTATCTCTCCAGGTTTTGTCTGACCGTCACCATTATATGTGACAAAAACCCAATCGCCACATTCAAATCTCTCATTTTTTGGTTCTGCAGTGGCACTTTCTGCATCACTGAATACCAGCTCAAAATTGCCAAGGTGAAAAAATCAAGAATAGTAACCATGCTCAAAGTCAACAACAGTTTTTCACTTTATCTGACTTCTTTTAAAAATTTTCATGTTCAGCATGCTTTGTTGCTGGTACTTCAAAACAAATGTGACTTTTATGTCAGTTCTGAGCAAAGTTTCAATGAATGGAAACAGTTACTTCATAATTGTTTTAAAATATCTCAAGGCCTAAGATTTAAGATTTTTAGGAATGTTGAATCCGAACAAAAATCAAGGTATTATATAATCAAGGTTTATAAAAATTTGTATAAAATGATTTTTTTATTTTGTAGAAACAACACTTCAGTCTTGCATCAATAATCATTTGTATTTTGAGTATTAGATTTATATCACAGACTTTATGGCTACTAAACTTCTTAATCATCTTCACTATACTGAAGATCAAAGAGCAGTTGGCTTATTTTAATCTTAGCAAGTCGTTTCTGTTTTTTTCTGAATCTCTCCCATTATCGGTATCAAACTACGACAGTACAGAGATCTTCACTTATAGATTTTTTGAGTAGTTCATCACAGTTGACCAAGGACTTATCCAAATCTGATTCGCTCAAGTCAGTGTGTGCCTTCTTTGCCTGTGGTGTTTTTTTCTCTTTATCTTCTTCCATGAAGTTGCAGTAGTGGAACAGCTACTTGCGACACTGCCGCTACGACTTAGAGAACTGGGGATCATCTGCCTGTACAACAAATCTAGCTTCAATTGGCAAAGGGTTGCTCTCTGTAGGTTTATTTGCACTCTTTTCATGCAAGAATGCCATTTGCTCAAAAAATCTACATTTTGGCAACGTTGCAGCTGCAGCACCAGAGGGGGTCATGGGATTTCGCTTGTCCAAACATTTTTTCAAGGTATCTCTCGGATTCTTGCATGAAAAAAAGTATCTTTCAGAACTTAAAAAAAATGTAGCAATCCTGCATTAACTCTGGGCATTCTAAAATTTTATCGACAAAGACACTGTTTGCAGTACACTTTTGTAGTCTGTTTGTAGCATCTAGTTGTTTAAAAGACGAAAACTTACTATTTTTCATGAACATGGCTGACAGCTTTTCCATGAATTTTGCTTTGCTGTTCTGTCTTTATACATTGGATGATTGGATCCCAAAGACATCGCAGCTCTTTGAATGGCTTCAATGAATGCCTTTCTTTCCCACACTACACTATCTCTTCCTAAGATATAAAAAATACCTCAGAATTTCTTCAAACTCTCATCACAAACTTATGTCAAATTTAGATCTATTCTATCATAACGTCAATTTTCTGCTAGCCCTGAATTCAAGACAAAAGACAAAAATGAGATTCTCTGATCTTAGGAGGCTCTGCAGCTTTATTTCTAAAAGACAATACCCATCAATTTTTTCTACGTTTTTAGATAAGTGTGCATTGTAAAAAATAAAGGAAACAAATAAGCTCACTGTGTCTTCTTCATCTTCACCATCTTCATCCACCAAATCAGGAGTCTGTGATCACTGAAGCTGTTGCTGTTGAGCTGCCAAATGAACAGCCAACATTTCAGGGTTGTTTATTTCAGACATATTGATAGAACCATAAAACTCGATAAAGTCTGCTGTCGTCAATTTGAATTTCAAATGTTGCACTATCATGGTCCAATCCTCTTAAGAGGGGTGTTTTTGTAGGTAGGGGGTGTTTGAGGAAAGAATGTGGAACAATGGAGAGAGGAAAGACGTAGGCCAGAAATAAAAAACAACAGTCAGCTGTTAAGATTTTCCCTTTTTGCCTATAATTAACTGTTGCATACTTCTTGTTTGTACATCATAAGCCCTGCGTCATTGCATTGCCTGTTGCTAGAAACGTTCCCCTCCATTGTTTATGTTATAAGTGTGGGATTTTCTCAGCATTGTTTAGGCCTAGTCATGGATAAGCCACTTTCACATTCTTTTTGGAAAAGAGATTTCGTTTTTGGAACGAGGCTAACGATAATGTCTCGACGGAATATTTCATCGTTACTTGACGAAAGAGGTTGATATCTTGGCTTGACTTAGATTTCTTGGCAACTACTCGATATTTTTGCGATCGAAAGTACTGGAAGAGACGTCTTCGGATACTAATAAAATGTCAAAGTCGGTTGGGAGAGAGTGTGCGGCTTTTGGTTGCTCAAATACCTTTTATTGCTACGATGGAATGCAGAGTGGCCTACATTTTTTCAAGTTCCCTCAACAGAATCCAGAAAAACGTGTTTGGTTTAAACGATTTGATGGCTTAGATGGATTTCGTGCTACTGCTGCTACATGCTCGTGTCAGGAACATTTTAGAGAAGAGGACATAAAGCAAAATCCTAGTCGCTGCAAGCTAGTTCCTGGTGCAGCCCCTTCTCTCGAACTATATCGTCTTACAACCCCGGATGCTTCTAGCACCAGGCGCAAAGCTCCCAGAGATCGCAATGCCGTCCAGTTTTCTTCAAATACTGATGAAACTGTTTGTGCTAGCTCTTCTTCTTCACAACCTTCCCTTGACCAAATGCCAAGTGATGGTTATTCGGCTCCCATAGAGCATGGTTACTCTTGTGATCCATTGGTTGATGACCAATTTTTAAATATTTTAGGAGAACGTGATAAACTTCTTCAGGAAGTAAAAGAGTTGAAATCAGAAGTCATGTCCCTCAAAAACGAAATTGTAGATATAAAAGAAAAATTATTTTCTTTGGATAAACTGCAGAGTGATGATTCAGCAGTGCGATTTTCCGGCTTTCCAAATTATGCCACACTCATGGACATATTTAATTACTTCAAACCAAAGCTTGAGCACATGACATACTGGCGTGGTTCAGCCACCTCTGTTAATCATGGCAAATCTATGACAAAGGATTAGACAAAAATGACTCTTCATCCAAGCCTGGTCCAAAAAGAAAGCTTTCTCTTTTAGAGGAGTTTGTTTTTGTTTTAATGAGACTGAAGGTTAGCCTCTTTCTCTTTCAGTGGCACAATCTTCCAAGATTTTCACAACTTGGATAAATTTTATTTTCAATGAACTACAATTGTTGTTTCCTTTTCCTTCTCAATCAAAAATTAACAAGCTAATGCCATCAGAATTTGAGCAGTATCCTTCAACAAGGATCATCCTTGATTGCACAGAAATCTTTATTGAGGTGCCTTCTTCTATGAAAGCACAATCTCAAACCTGGTCAGACTACAAGCACCACAACACTTGGAAGTACTTATTGGTATATCACCCAATGGTGCCATGACATTTGTTTCTAAGCTTTGGTCTGGCAGGGTTTCAGACAAGGAAATTACAAAGAAGTCTGGTGTGCTTGACCTTTTGGAACCAGGAGACAATGTTATGGCCGATAGAGGTTTTGACCTTAAAGAAATATTGCCATCTGGTGTGACCTTAAACATTCCTGCTTTTAAAGGCCGCTGTAACCAACTAACCCCTAGAGAAACAGAAGAAACAGCACAAATTGCTTCTGTTAGAATACATGTGGAGCGAGCTATTGGCCGTGTAAAAAACTACCACATTCTTGATGGCACCTTGTAAGTAAATTTGTATCTTGTTGCAAATCAAATATTTACTGTTTGCTGCTATTTAACTAATTTCTTACCCTTTTTAGTTAAACCGTCAAATAAAGGACCAATATAATTAATTTGAGTAAATATATGTATTTGTTTTTCTCAATTTTAACTAGCTATTTTATCTCAAAGAAATTTAGAAAATACTTTTTTCATTCCTGTAGAGCACTTTCCTTGGCTATTAACTATAATATTTGAAATGCATATATAAATTTGCACAGCTGGAAGATGAAAACACTAATAAAGATACCCTTTGCTGACTAGTTTGACTTATCATCAAAATCATGATGTGTATACTTATGGTTTAATAAGCAATTTGATGTTGTACGACATGATCTCCTACTGAGTAATAGTTATCTTGCTTAAGCCATGCCCTGCTGCCTGTATTTTCGGTGGCTGAATTTTGATTAAAAAGAAGTGGTGTTAAAATTAAAATATGTTTTTCTTAAATTTCACTCAGTCTTTTTACATTGTAGTATAGCTTACATTTTTTTGTAAATTTGCATTTGTCATTATCAAGATGCTTTTTTCTACAAATAAACTCATTTGCTTAATGTTACTGTGCTGTATATTGTGTTTTAAATTCTAGTGTATATGAATTCTTTTCATATAAGTCCATAGTATACTATGAAGCAACAGATAAGGAACAAATTTTTGTTGAAAATGCCAGTTGAAAATAGTTTACATAAATTTTTAAAATATCATAGGATTTTGTATGGATTACTTATAATGTTATACAAAAAACATAAGTGGAAACCAATTAATTGTTATTTGAGTAATTCTTCCAACCCCCATGTAAATAAAACGTTAAGCCGAGCTCTACACGTTTTGTACATTGTTCTGGCCAGACTGATCGACAGTAGAAATATTTGAGTTTTGGTAAAATCGATTCCAAAAATTGTTCATCATAGTGAATCGATGAAACAAATAATGGCTCTTTATCTCCAAACCAGACAAAAAAATCAACTCTCTTCAATCCAGTGCAGTACATCTGGCCTTGTACTTGGTAGAAATAGGGATGACTTCTTCTCAGCTCCACTTCCTTTCCTTTTTTCAAAAAAAATGTCTAATCTTGTAGTGATTTGTCAAGGGAAGAATTGAATTTCGAGTAAGGGCATTTTATTTCAAGCCCCCAGGTTTGCCCATCACAATTAACTACTCCATCCAAAGATGCTCCAAGAAAAGAACATTGATTTGATAAGAACAACCCAGCATCTTCCACAGAAATATTTGCAAAACCATTTTGGACCATGTATGCAAAATACAATGATCTAACATGTGACTCGTAATATCTTCCATGCTCAATTGATGGAGAAGAGAAGGTTGAATAGTACATGGACCTTAGCTTTGAAGAGGGTTCAACTGTGTTAACAGCAGCTGAGTAGAAATTGGAAGCTGTTATTCGATACATCCTCTGTTGCTTCCAATAAAAATTTGATGCTTGCCCAATTGTTAATTTATTGAGGGCTTTGATTTCATCTTCATCCACTTTGACTATGGAAATCCATCATTTCTTTGAATTTAGGGGAGGAAATATCGTAAAAAGCATTAAATGGCATTGAGTCAAGGTTATTTATAAGTTTAACTTGTAAACCTTGAAAAGGAGAGTTCAGCCTGGGAACTTCTTTGCTTGAAAAACATTCTGCAGACGATGGAACACTTCCCGGGGGGTCATGGAAAGCGAAAAAAGCAGCTATTTGGTGAATGAATGGCAAGATTTGCTGCCAGCTGTTGTAGATTTTTTGCATCAATTTCTTTGTCTTCTGGCAAGCGAGGATCAAACAGATTACTTCTTGGCTTGAATGACTTGTCATTATCTTTACCAAACTTAATTTTTGTGAGGATCATCTCATCGATTGGCAGTGCAGAAACTGATTTGGAAGCATAGCTTGATGGGACATTCCATGCAGATAGCTTTGAAGTACATGAAACAGGGTCTGTACATTGATGGTATCCTTTTCGATTAAAGTCCTCCAATGCAAATAAGACACCACCTACATGGATGCAGTTTCCAAATCCACCTAAACCAGAACCAGCAGGGCAAGTGCAGGCAGCGCTAGAAACATTGCCAGAAGAGTCGAGAATGACAAGTACTTTATAAAGAATGTTTTTCATTGACGCTTTCATGCGTACATCAATGAAAGTGAAATCTCCATCCTTTGCAACCTTTGCAAATGAAAGTAAAAATTTTCGAATGAAACCTTCATAAAAAACTTAAATGACTTTAACTTCTTGTAACCGGTGCTCTTCAAGAAAATGTGTTTGTATTTCAATGTGCGTAAAACCAAGTACTCATAAAGTTGGATGAAGGTAAATGGTGGAGTATCATGTAAATCCGATACCCAAGGCAAATGATCACACATTGAAGCATAGATTTCATTGTAGGTGCACGAAGGGTTGTCCTTATCCAACATAACTTTGCCAGCTTCATTGGTAGATGCCCTTTTTGTCCGACTGAAGACTGCGTATGTGCAAAGGATAAGATCGGCTTTGTTACCAGAGACCTTTTCATTATAAGGAAGTAAAATATTCTTCAGTTCCTTAACTGTCAACGAGCCTAAATCTTCTAAACAAGTAACAGACTTTCCTTCAGGAATAAACGAGTTAAACTGTTACATCGTGCAGCGTGGAAGCATTTACTTTGAGGCCGTAAACAGTTTACTTTTTGTTAGGTTACTGTGGGAAATGATGCAGACATCATCGTTAGCCTTGTTTTCAATCAACCGCCTCTATTGAGTTTCGGAATGTGAAAGTGGCTTATTGCGTAGTTTTCTGTCGTTTTGCATACTTTTGATCTAGATACGAGGGTCACTCCAAAATTATTGAAATATTCAGTAACCGCTTGAGATATCAGTTTGAACTTTTTTTGGTGGCTTCTACCATCTATTTCACCCATGTTTTGTAATTTTTGTTAATTTCAAGCGCGAGAAAAAAATAGAAAAGGGTTTTGAATTTCAGCACCTTAGATGTTCTTATTTGTTAAAAATGGAGCTTGAAAGATGTGATTTTCGCGCAATGATTTATTATGATTTTAAAAGGGGGCTGAAACAAGAAGAATGCCTAGCTCAGTTTCTGCAGACATTTGGAGATAATGCACCTTCAAGGGCAACAGTTTTTCGATGGTTTGCCGAATTTAAGAGAGGGAGGGAGAGCCTTAAAGATGAGACCCACCCAGGGAGGCCCCCAACTGCTGTTGTGCCAGAAACAGTTGCCGCTGTGGAGAAGATGCTAAGGCAAGATGGTCGGATGACTTATTCTATGATGCAGGATAGCATAAAGATTGGAGCAGCAGCATTGCACACAATTTTGCATGAAAACTTGCAAGTTCGGAAAGTGGCTGCCTGCTGGGTGCCACATTGCTTCTCAGATGAGCAAAAAGAGCAGCGCGTCAATTGGTGCCAGTTTATGCTGCAAAAATTTAATGAAGGGAAGTCGAAACGGGTTTATGACATTGTGACAGGCGATAAAAGTTGGGTTTACCAATTTGACCCGGAGACAAAGCCCTAATCCTCAATTTGATCTTTCCAGGTGAAAAACCGTCGCAAAAATTTCGGTGATCCAGAAGCGTCGGCAAAAGGATGGTTGCGTCATTTTTCTCAAAGACGGGTCATGTCGCAACCATTCAAGTTGAAGACCGTCGTACAGTGAACGCGGATTGGTATGTTAACCACTGTATACCACAGGTTCTAGAAGTTTGGCGAAATAAACGTCCAAGGACCGGCTTAAGAGGTCTACTTTGGCACCATGACAACGCTTCCGCTCACACAGCTGCTTTGACCATCGACTTTCTGTCCGAAAATTCAGTTCAGTTGATGACCCACCCGCCTTATTCACCTGATTTGGCACCTTGTGACTTCTTTCTCTTTCCAGCGGTGAAAGAAAAAATTCGCGGAACCAAGTTTGATAGCGCTGATGATGCAGTTAGTGCCTTCAACGAGGCTGTTTCTGACCTGGCTGCGGAAAAATGGGCCCATTGTTTTGATATGTGGTTTTATCGTATGAGACTTTGTGTGGAAGCCAGTGGAGAGTATTTTGAGAAACTGTGAAAATTTGAACACAATGCCTCTTGCGGTTTTTGAATATCTCAATAATTTTGGAGTGACCCTGGTATGTTTACATTGCATAGCACCATTCAGTCTAGCCCTTCCTTTCCCATGTTTTCACTTTGCAATTTTTACTTAATTTCATGTCATTTTGATCATGTTTTGATAATTGCTTAACCATAACAAGAGACGAAAATGATTTGTTGTGAAAGGAGTGTTTTTCTCTTGTTCACTAGTTGGGTTTGTGTCAGCTGTCTTCAACTGCTGTTCTTATTGGTTTACTTTACAAAGTGAAAAATTTGCAGCGAAAAAGTAGGAATGGTTTGTACTTTTTTGCAGCGAATTCACAGCTGCGAATTTTCCAATCTCCACTTCTGGGCGTATTTTTCGGGCATTTGAGGCGAAAAATTCGCTTTGCACGAAAAAATTTGGCTCGTGTAAATCAGGATTTAGATCTGGTATCAATGAAAGCTTCCACCTGCAACCCATTTAACAAACATTTGATGAAAGGCTGGATTATAGACTATTAATTATTACATAGAGTACTGTCTCCAAATATATATAATCAGGGGTGACCATTTCAGCCTTCTATTTGGGCACCCCCTTTGGAGTTTTAAGTCAACACAAATCGGTTTGGAATATTTTTTGCATTAGCAACACAATTACCTTCTCTAATACCCAGACTGTCAACAACCCTGTTATTCTCACATTGCCATGCAATATCTCCCGATCCAATAGACATCTGACATTTGAACAAAATTTTGTTATGTCCTTGTTCCCTGCTAGTGCATTTTTTGGGGCAATTTCTTGCTATGTGACCTTTTTTACAGCAAAAGCAACAGGCTGTTGACGTCCAGTAAATGTAGAGGTCGAGTCCTCCTCATGAACAGCAGCTATGTATGAAGTATTGTTCATCTTCAGCTCTTAGCTTGTGCAGCCGTCCCTTCAATAGATGTCGGTGAGAAAATCACATCTGTTGCTGCAAACAAACCAGGGTGAGATCCATGATTTTCATTTATGATCAGAGACTGTTTGGGCAAGGAGTATCTGATCAAACCTCTAGGTCGGTTTGTGTTCAAGAAGTTTAGAGCAGATGGAATTGGGAAGTCCGTTCAAACTGAAGGCAGAAGTGACAGTCTTTTCCAATGTTGAATCTGCCTTTTTCAGCCATTCCTGAAGAGACCACAGAAAAACACTAGGATCCTCACCACTATGCAAATCACGATCTTCAAATTCATTAAAATAGCCTTCTCATCCAACAGCAGGACACAAGACAGTCTGGAAATTGAACAATGTATGGAAATACGTAGCAACCAACCCTTGCAAAAATGCATTTAGTTTTGTTCCTCTTTCTAGCCATTAGCGGAGGCACAGCAATTAAATTGGTGAAGCTACCAATGTGGAAACTACCAGAACAAAAGTTTTCCAGCAAAAACCTCTGTCACCAAATTGTTATGACCTGGCAGATATAAATAACAGAAACAGATTAGTTTCTAAATCTCTTCTCACTGTGCAAAAGACTTGAATGAATTTCTCACTGGCGGCTAGACCATTGTTTGATAGAGAAAATTCAGGCTTTTTGGTTTAATGCAAGCGGTCACTTAAAATCGCTTGTGAACTGACGTAAAACTGTACCTTGTGAGGAATACATATTTCATCAATTGACCCATTTCTAGTCATCTTTGATGACCCAAGCAAGTGGCATAGACGATGGAAAGTCGGTAAATCAAAACACAGATCAAATAAGTGAGCAGGCAGGCAGATAACTCAAGAAAATTTACCCAAGCGTTGGGCCACTCATCTAGAATATTTCTTACGCAAAGTACTGGAAATTATATTGCTTTTTAAAGTTGTTTGATAAAAACAGCTGTCAGGAAATTTTTTTGAAGCTTTTGCTATTATTAATAAAAATGGCATTGAATTGGAAAACTTCAGGGCAAAAAATTGGGGGTTATTCTCTTCACCAGTTGTCTGCCAAACTCTAACATTTTGCTGTTATTTGTTTAGCTGACCCTTTTCTGAGAAAATAACATTTTCCCTGTCTTTGACCTGTCAATCTTTTGCAGCTTTTGCTTACTGGACATGTTTCCTTTTGTTTTCCAAAGAACAAAATGGTTTTCTTTTTCTCATATAACTGCAAATCCCATATTTGCATAAAATGTGTTTTATACATCTTTTTGACACTCTGCTACCAGGGTAAGATTTTTTAAAGTTGTCTGCTATGACGCTTAATTTGTCAAACCTGTGATGTTTTACTATTCAAGTAGCCATTCCATCACCCCTAGCATCAACTTTTTTTGGTCAGCCACATCTCCTTGACTTTTGAACTGTTCCTTCAGGTTCGATTGTGTTTTAAAATTCTCAAAAGAGTAGAAAAATTGCATCAACAATTTTTGAAATTTCTTTTGTCAAAAGGCCCTTTTACTTAAATTTCTAACAACTGCTCGATGTTCCTCTCATAATTCTCTTGTTTTTTGCTTTTTCAATTGTTTTGTTTGTAGTTGTGTTAGTTTTACATTACCATGGTTTTTCTACAAATTTCAAAATCCTCATTTAATTTCGTAAAATTGGACTCTCATCCTAGTATGTTTCTTTATCTATACAGTATTTTTGTGTTAACTTATGGGTTTGCACAGCTGCTGACGTTTTAGGCGCCATTAAGAATAGAGTGTTACCAAATTTTTGTCCTGGAAGTGTAGGTATCTAAATGATCTGGTTGAATGCTTCATAGACATAATTGCAAATGGGACTGGCGAACTCCATTTGCTTCAGGACAACAATTTCCTTCTCTATCTTGATTTTTTGAAAGGATGTTTCCCCATGTTGAAATTGTATTTGCTAAACTGCAAAACCATCAGACAGATCCAAAGTCTATACAGAATTGCACCACAAGCTTTCTTGATGCAATTAATAAGGAGAGGAGTAGAATCAACATTATCACGACAACAGTGCCAAGAGACCAAGAGTTGGAAATTCAACTGCTGATAAATCATGTATACTCCATGAAGAGTGTGATACAATTATTTCACTCTTTTGCACTCGGTATCACTTTATTGGTCATCTTTATACCAGCAAATCTTCTTGATAGTGGATCATTTGCCAAGTTTGAAAAGAATTTTCCCTATCAAATTCTAAATCAGACTGTCGAATCATATACCGTACTAGATGAAGGAAAGCTTAAATCAGAGCTAGGAATTATATACTCCAGAGTAGGATTCAGATTGTGTGCATAGCAAAGTACCAATGAGCATTTGCATGTGATTGTTTAACTATAGTTTAAACACCATTGTTACAACCACTCATTACTGTAGCACAATAATAGCATCGAGCTATAGTTTTATGGCATCTCCCTGTGGTAAACTACTAAATGACCAGAATCTTTCCAGAACTGTTTTATACAACAAAATTTTGCCAATGATTTGAAACATCTGTTGTATCAGCAGATACAGCAGCTAAAAAATCTGCCTCTTTTCTTTTTGTTTAATGACATCTTTACAGCAACTCATTTTGGGCTGTTTTTGATGTCAGTTTAAAGACAGTGGCTGTCTCTAAGTGCTTACTAATTGGCACCTAATTATCCTCTTGAAATTGTTAAAATTCTCCTTCTCTTATTAAACAATTGCTGAGTTTCTTTCTTTTACAACTTTACGTAAAAGGCCAGCTACCTACATGTTATAATAGGGAACGGAAAGACAAAGCGCAAAAAGCAATTTCATCTGGAAATGCAAAGGAGTAAACTGAGGAAAGTCCTTTGAGCAACGCTCTTTGCTCTTGAAGGCTAGCTTTTTTCCTCAAATTTTGCAGGATGGATACGATCCATCCATTTTAATTTTTCTAGGTTCTTGAATCTCCAGGCGAGCTTGTTTAAAAATGTTGCTGTACATGTCTTTGCAAGATCCATCAAAGTTTCCCTCCAACTAAGGAGTGCACAATTGATTGGTTCTTCCACCCCGCGCCATCCGTCTCTTACGCATACCACGGGTATCTCTGGATCCTTTTTCAGTGTATCTTCCCAGATTTGTTTGTAATCAAATCTCTTTAATGCTCCATTAAAATCCTTGAGCATTGACGTTACTTGAACGGCATCCAGTGTGGGTTTTTGCATCTTCAAAATTGCAAAGATAAAAAAGCTTTCTGTAAAATGTAGGCAAAAAACTCAAATTCCACATTTTGCAGCTGTACACAGAGGCGTCTTGCAGTTGCTTTTGTTTCAGACTTTTCTTTTGGAACTTTTGACATAGCATGTAACAAGGACCTAAGCTCTTCGTAACAGTTCTTGATTTCCGTGAAAGCAGTATCACATGACAACCATTGTGTATCCCCAGGTTTTGGCATATTTGCATCCACTTAGGGATGCTCCTAATAAATGTTGCCATTTTTTCTATGTTGCGAAAAAATTTGCAAATCCTTGGAATTTTTTTTTAAGTTTGGCAAGCGGAAAGTGACAGTCTATGTGCAACGTAG